CCCCCCAAAAAAGATGTCTTTTTTTATTTTTTTTACCTTCCAATTTGTATAGCTATATACTGAAAACAGGCGTTAAAGTCCGTTTGTAGTATATTCCTATACAAATTCACTCCCTTTCCCCCCAAAAAGATGTCTTTTTTTTATTTATTTTACCTTCAAATTTGTATAGCTACATACTGAGAACAGGCGTTAAAGTCCGTTTGTAGTATATTAGTATACATGGTCTATTTTTAGAAAGGGTGAGACAACATTCCCAGACAAAAGGGGGTAGAGTTAATTTTTATCATGTCTAGAAGACATGATAAAAATTAACAAAAAGTATTTATATATTATATATATATATATAATTTTTTTTTTCTTTTTTTTCTCCACGACTCAGAATTTTTTTCTGAGCTCTGAGAATTTTTTCCCAGTCGACAGCCAACAGAAATGTTTCCAGCCAACGCGATTTACTTTCACTTTCAACTCTTTTCTATATAAGTATTCCACGTTTTCTGTTCAGAACCGTGCGGGCTGTCCAAGGTGCAACATGCTTTCTCTCTCTCTCTACCTCCTCTAGACCTAGGATGTTCTTTCTCAAGAAGAGGAATTCTTTTAGTCAATCGCGAGGGAGGAAGATGGATTTCATCCTGTGGGTCTTTGAGAAACAACACACAGAAATAGAATTCAATACCCACGATCCTCCTTCACGGAACTCTGTAAGGGAAGCTGGGTGCACTGGATGCTGGAAGGCCACTCCTTTCGTGATTTGTGAGTCGGTAAAAAGGGATTGAATGCGATATCCCTTCCGACAACACCATAGACGAGCGGTCCAATAGTTCCATGAGAAAATATCGCTTTAATCTTTTCAGCAACATTATTGAGGATACTTTTCTTGTAAAAAAGAAAAAAAGGTATTGTTTTCTTTCATCTAGGGAAACAATCATACCTTGGATGTTTAGAAGAAGATCCGTTTAAGTAAAAAAGATTAGCCCCATCGCACAACATCATCATGGGTTCTCAATCTTATCCCAACAGCCCTGTGATCATTGTTTTTTTTTTCAAACGTCAGGCCAAAGTATTCCTTTTAAAACATTTTCTGTTCTTCCTGGGTGGGGATTGCGTACCGAGAATGTATTTTCCACAAACCCCCACGGATTAGAACAGAAATATATTACAATCATCACGCCATCGTGGTTTTCGAAAGCCAAAACAATTCCTCATGAAACAACATCTTTTCTTCCTGGTTGTGGGATGAGGTAGAGATGTTGCATCGTCAACAACCCACACTGATCTGAACAGAAATGTGGAATGTTTTTATAGATATAAGAAATGAACTGAAAGTGAAAGTAAAAATGAAATCGTATTGGCTGGAAATATTTCTTGGCTGTCGAATGGGAAAAAAATTTCCAGAGCTCAGAAAAAAATTCTGAATATTAATTTGATGTCTTCACTTTGTTTACTTTGGAATGGAGAAACCCAAAGACCATGACTCATCCTTTCTAAAACATAATTCCAAGAATGAGTCATGGTCTATTTTTAGAAACGGTGAGACAACATTCCCAGACAAAAGGGGGGGGTAGAGTTAATTTTTATCATGTCTAGAAGACATGATAAAAATTAACAAAAATTTTTTTTTTTTTTTTTTTTACACATCTCAGATTTTTTTTCTGAGCTCTGAAAATTTTTTCCCAGTCGGCAACCAAGAGAAAATTTTCCAGCCAAGACGATTTGGCTTTTACTTTCACTTTCAACTCTTTTCTATAAAAGTATTCCACGTTTTCTATTCAGAACCGTGCGGGCTCTCCATGGTGCAACATGCTTTTTCTCTCTCTACCTCATCTGCACCTAGGATGTTTTTCTTTGTCAGGAAGTGGAATTCTTTGGGAATACCTTACAATTTCTGAGCCTTACACGAGCTAGATGTTTCTTATATTTCGAAGAGATTTGAATGGAATTGTTTATAGATGTCACCCATTGCAGATGGGGGAAAAGTCCATACTGGATCGCTGGAGACATCTCACCCAGATAGGTCACGTTATATTTTTTCCCACACCTAAATAAATTGGACATGAGCCATCCTTTTGTTTTCTCATCCAACAAAGAGAGACACTGGAGACCCTTTTGGGTTTTCACTCTTTGCAAACCGAGACGGGCCGCAGCGACACTTTGCGTGTCATGTTGTATTTTTTTTCATACACCTAGCCAAATTTGGACACGAGACATCCTTTTGTTTTTTTCCCCATCGAACCAAGATGGACTCTGGAGACCCTTTTGTTTCTCAACGGAAAAGTATCATGTTGCATTTCGTTCCCTACATCTAGCCAAATTTGACATGAGCCATCCTTTTGTTTTTTCCTTTGAGCCAAGATGGACTCTGGAGACCCTTTTGTTTCTCAACGAAAAAAAAAAATTCTGAATGGGTGCCGGTGTTCGAATACTTTTGTGACCGACTGTACTTACATTTTAAACAGAAGAAAAATTGAAACCCTAAGTGGTCACTGAGGATAAATAATATCGATTAATAATAATAGTGTTTATACAATAGAAAAGAAGCTACCGTATGACACTACTAAATATTCAAGCAAACTGACCATGTTCTTCGATGAGTGGAGCCCTAACAGTTGCGTTCACGCATTATGTCTGGTCACAAGTGTAAAACAAAAGTCAAATGTATTGTGCTGGATGGGCGGAGAGCACAGTGTCAGGCTGTCAGAAATCTAGGAATTTATGAACTTGGCAAATTCCCAGAATGTATTAACCTTTCGAAGACGAGGCGTTCGCATCTGTATGAGGCTTGAAAGGACAGGAATCTTGAACCTAATGCTCTCCCCTTTAAGAAATCACTCCCTTCTTGCAAGAATGATCCTTGTGTGTTGTTTAATGGATTCTCAGTGGGTAAATTTCTTATACAAAAAGAAAAGAAATGTAGGGATTAGTGACTAGACTTTTAGATGTTTTTCCTCAATGAAGGAAAATTCATATTATACAACGGAATACATAGGCCTCTGAATGAGATAAGGTGTTAAGACACCAAGGGCGTCAACTTTGGCATTTCATCCCAATCAATTGTACACGGTACTTCAGTCATTGCGAGCGATCGACGATCAACAAAAATTAGCTTCGCGATGGACTTGATGGAATAGAAGGGGGAGGCACCCCCGATTTATAAAGTATAGTGTACTTCTAAGTATAGTGTCTTCTTCCCGAAGGTATAGTATGCTTCTAGTACACTACACCGAAATCTTTACTTTCACGGGCAAGATGCCGGGGGGGGGGAATTCCACGCACGCGCATTCGCCCTTTTGCAATTCGAAACATTTGCAAGTCTTTCCTCAGTTTACATTTCTTGTAAGTTTGGTTTAATTTGCACAATTCCTTCATGGTGTTGCACTTTTCAGAAACATTAGCGTATGTTATAAGTTATTTTCATAATTTAACTTTTCAGATTTATTTCTGTCTCTCTACTCTCGCTTTAAATGCCAATAAATGTATTGAAGTTTTTCCGTATATTAACGAATTTCAACGTCTGCGAAATTAATTTAAAAATTAAATCAGTTCACGACACATTATAGTGTTATGAAAATGGTATGTTTTCCTGATTATTTTTTTTGGCCGACCTTACTAAAGCATAATGCTGTTGCACAGTGCCTACTATTCCTTATGAAACAATAAACTTAACAATATTTGGGTTAAAAAGACAAATTAAGTTTTACAGACGCGTAAAAAATTTCATTCAGCTTAACAATGGAGATGCCTGTGCTGTTCTAAGGAGAGAGCAGAATAAAAATTGGAACTGCTTACTCTACCACCAGAGTAATCAAAGCTGGTGTCCCACCGGAGTCGGCACTTTCGTCGTATCTTTTTTATATTTATACGCAAGACATCCCTAAAGGACCCTTCTGTTCAACTTGCACTCTTTGCCGATGACACCGCCAAACTTACTAAAGCCCGCACAGCAATCGCCGTAAGAAACCAACCACAAAACGATCTCATAAAACTCGAAAAATGGCTCACCCTTTGCAGGATTAAAATTAACACCAACCAAAACCAAGGCAATAATTTTCCGTACAGGAAACATGAACTATTACCCTCCACACCCTGAAATATTTGATGAAGAAATAGACTGGATTAATGAAACCAAATACTTTGGAGTCATCCTGGATCAAACCCACTTCCACTGAGTAGCACAAAAATTTAAAATCACCTCAGCAACTATGCGATCTCTTTTTGATAGAAAAAGCAACTTATCTACAACTAACAAATAAATTTTATACCGCTCCACACTTCGTCCAGCCCTCCTTTATGGAGCTTCGATCTGGAGACATGCAGCTAAAACCAATATTAAACAATCACAAGTACTACAAAATAAAATCATACGAGAAATTATCAATGCTCCTTAGTTCATTACAAACATTTACATTCACAGAGACCTTCAAATAGAACCTATACAAGACTATATGAAACGCTTAGCGGTCAACTTCTTTCACTCAGTACAGTCCCACAGTAATAGCCTGATTAGCACTTTCAGACACTCCTCGCACTCCAGAGAAAAACATCGTTATCCCACTGACATCCTGCCCAAACAAATAATACCATATTTGACTTATTCACGATTAATTGACTCTACGGTTTACACCAACACCTGCTGCTTCATCTTGTACCGTCACTGAGCTCATCCCCCATTCACCACCGCTAGCGCAGACCAGAATTTATTCTCACTCCCTCCCACCCTCCTACTACACTGTTATTCTTTCTCTTTCCCCTTGACTGCTTATCTGAATCCGAGTAAAAAAAAATGTTTCTGCATCTTGACACTCGAGAATAAAATATGATCTTCATCATCATCAAGGAGAGAGAACTTCCGCGACATTGCAGCGAATAAAGAGCTAGAACGTCTTTCGTGAAGCTAACTTGTTCTTCTACCGACCTTGATACTCAAGCCAATAGTGTTTGACGGTATTGGCATGTCAGAGTCACGGGATCTGACAGTACGTAATTCGAACTCTTGCGCAGTGACAGTGAGCTTCAGTCTAGGTTGTTCTGCTTTTCATAACTTGGTTAGCAGTTTGTTTTGATTTTGTATGTGTTTAGAAAGGGAAGTGGAAAATGCAATTCACCATCCGGAATTCGTTGCAAAATTACATTTTCATCTAGGGTAATTTAGTGAGCTTATGTAATTTAAATCTGCTTAAAAATGAAAAATGCATATAAAGTAAAGTATTTTGTGGGTCTCATTATCGAATGTTGTTGTATTTTACCTAAGTGATACAATTGTAGTATCTTTAATAAAGATGAAACAAATAAACTTGATACAGTGCGTATAAATAATCAGTGAAATCGCGTTACTACTTGATCAAAATTAAGTCTGATCTCTCTCTCTCTCTCTTTTTTTTTTTTTTTCTTTATAATTATTTTTGTATTGCAATTTGGTGATTCTTGTGAATTAAGGTTATGTGTTGTGAAGTTTTGGAGTTTTTACTATGTAATCATTTAATTCCCCCCCCCGGTGTTTTGGTAAATTTTAGATTGTGAAAAAAAGCTTTAGTAATCAAAAAGAGGAAGGAAATTAAGAACGAGTTTCTAAAGTGTGTTGGCAGTGTGTAGGTTTCAAATTGCTGAGAAACATTTCAGGATTTCTGGTATATAATGCATTTTCTGTAAAGTATTATTTGGTAAACTATGAAGACTAAATTGCAGTATTCCATATTGGCCAAATGTGTAAACTTAAGCTAATACTCAAGATTAAATTATCAGCTGGCTACATGGGTGTCTTCTTGATAACTTGAATTATAGATATTTTTCCGAAAAATGTCTTTCATAAGCCTACCGTCCTATAGGCAAGTAGTCTTTGTATGTTTTGCCATGTTCAATTGAACAAGGGAAACTAAGATTAAATTCTGAGTAATAGTTTTGGAAATATTAATCGAAACCGTAAAACAAAATCCATACTTTTTCATTAAAGCCATATTGTGCATTTTTGGTGTCGTAGAGGTGCATTTTGGCTTATTTCTTTTCTTGTACATTTGGCTCTATATTAGATAAAATAGAACAATCAGGAGCAGCATCAAGGAACAATTTCTAATTTTACTGGAGAATCATTCAAACAATCTAGGTTTTTTAGGAACGTGATCTCTTGTTTATAGCAAGGCCTACATTATTATATTTTACTTTGTATTTTGTGAATTGTGTGCTAATTTTCACAATTTTGTTGCATCTAGTACTTTTAAAATTAGGATGAGATAACAAGGAATTGGTTAACAAGGAATAACTTCTTGTGATACTGTGAATAAATGAGTCATACGTAAGTGAGAAAAGGCTGTTTTGGCCTTGAGTGATTTTAATTTCACATTGAATACAATTTCTTTTGCACATCTTTCTTCGAGAAATAAATAGCTGCTGTTTCACCTTTTGAAAAATCCCAACTTGTGGAATTTTTGGCAGTTAAAAAAAGAGGTATGTGTGTATTATGCCATCAACTGTGAACGTTGGTTACCATTGAATAACGAAAGTTGGTAGAAATTCTGCCAAAGTTGTGGCAATTATTACTATGTAATGATGAAGGAACTAACATTTCTTTATTTCGTAAACAGTCAGTACTTGACCTGGTTCATTTTTACATCGTCTTTCTGCTCCTCTGGTTTCATTGGATGTTCTGTTTATGCTGCTGTGAATAGAAATTTCCGGCTAATCTTTGGAATATGGTAACAGGTAGTTTGGCGACATTTTGGTTAGGCGATAAAGGTTATTAGCTAGGACTGTAGCAGTGTACATGGATAAAGTCAAGAGTGTGCGCAGTGCAATTTTTTTGCAATTCTGGGATGTTTTTTTAAGTGAAAATAGGTCGACATGTACATTGATACCGTGTATGTGAAATTCTTAAAAACGCGGCAAGCAGTTTGCGATTCTGCACTTTCTCCCAATTTCGCACCTAATCTTCATCATGATTAAGCACTTTTGTTCTGTAAAAGTTCTAGCATAAGCGTAATTCGGCTAGCAGATTGTTGGAAATAATTGTTGAGTAAAAAAAAAAAAAAAAAAAATGCCTTTACTTCGTGAAAACAAAATGGCATTCAAACAAAAACTAGCAGGTTGCTGTAGCAGGGTTGGTCGCCAAAAAAATCGCCGAGTTACCATATTCCAAAGATTAACCAAATTTCCCTCAGGTAATTGTCCCAGTCTATTATTGTTTAGCCGAACATATTCAGCTGACCAATCATGTCCATTAGTGTTCTTTTTTTTTTTTTTTTTTCTTTTTTATGTTAGGAACCTATAACTTATTATTCTACTACTTTCTGTTTTGTAGAAGGCAGGTCCCAAATTTAAATCATGTTTTTTTTTTTTTTTCTTAATGCAAGGGAAAAGTATAGCAGTAACAGTTCATTTATATCTCTATACATAAAAACAATAGGTAGCTTATCCAGACTCATTTGCATTACATCAAACGAAAGTGCAGATGTTATCATTGTGTTATGTCATGCTTATCCATAAATGGTGCTAAATCATGCTTCTTGGTGACAGTATGCCATGATTGATGGGATAATACATAATTACCGACAAAATGTTAAATAAAAATTGTAGTCATCCAAGCTTTGGTTATAAAGATTATTTTCATGAGGAAAGAAGTCAAACCAGACTTACCAGACAATAAGGAAATGTGCCAGCCGCTTCCCAAAGAAAAGCAGCAAGTGTGGCCTTTAATAAAAAGTTGTAAAAAAATTTTATATAATATTTACATAAAATAATATATAACTTGAATGATGACCTGAAATTTAGATTTTTAAGAACAAAGCGGTTAATCTTTGGATTGTGGTAACTTGGCGGTTTTTTGGCGAAAATTTGGCGACCAACCCTGCTACAGCAACCTGCTAGTTTTTGTTTGGATGCCATTTTGTTTTCACGAAGTAAAGGCATGTTTTTTTTTTTTTACTCAACATTTATTTCCAACAATCTGCTAGCCGAATTACGCTTATGCTAGAACTTTTACAGAACAAAAGTGCTTAATCATGATGAAGATTAGGTGCGAAATTGGGAGAAAGTGCAGAATCTCAAACTGCATGCCGCGTATTTAAGAATTGCACATACACGTCGACCTGTTTTCACTTAAAAAAACATCCCAGAATTGCACAAAAATGGCATTGCGCACACTGTTGACTTTATCCATGTACACTGCTAAGGTCCTAGCTAGTAACTTTTATCGCCTTACCAAAATGTCGCCAAACTACCTGTTACCATATTCCAAAGATTAACCGCAAAGTTTTATGAAATTTGCAAACTAAGTTGTAAGCTTAAATTTACTAAGGAATCGGTTAGTCATTTCTGTATCCATGGCAGAAATTTTTACATAGATTCACAAACTTTTTGTTTGTTTAGCTAATTGCAGGAAATGATAGAAGCAAAGCTCATCATTCTTTGGCATAAAGGAGCTTGAAGGTATTGTCTCAGCTGGTGATCTAAAGAATTTCATTAGTTAGTTAATCAGTTTTAAACTAGATGGCACCACCTCTTTTCAGACTTTTGTTTTTAAAAGCAATGTTTATGCTTATTATTTCTTTCATATGCAGTTTTTATGTTGAATTTATGAAGAGTTTTTAAAATGCCGTCTTCGGATATTTTTTATCAATTTACTCTCAAATAAATTTCACATTTACGTTAAAAAGAGTTGAAATAAGAAGCAAATGAAATAACTGTTATCTTAAGCGGCGTTTTTAATTTATCTCTCTTTTTTTAATACTTTGCGTACAACAAATTGTTTATAAATAGATTTTGAAACAACTAAATATAGCAGCACAAAATCGGATGTATTTTTTCTTACCTTCTATCTGTTTCATTCACTATAGGCACGAAATTCTTGGGCTAGACTGAAGATTATGGTCCAGTCGCCAGGTGAAGCGAAATCGCGCCAAATCTGGTAAACTCTTGGCTTAAATATGAATCAATGCTTTCCGTTCATTTATTGCTCATTTACTGCTTATTACAATTTCTTAAATTTCATGATAAAACGCTTGACTCCATTTTGCTACTTTCTTAAAAATGGTGTATGATATTATGAAAACTTTTAATATTGTTGATCCTATAAAACGCATAGTTATTAACTTTCAAATACTTTAGGTAAAGTGCAGAATCGTCCACTTATTTGTTTTGCGTTTGCAAGAGTAAGAAGAATTGTATTTCTGTCAATTTTCTTTGACTTTTTAAGTGAAAATAGGTCGATGTGTACATAAATAAAGTAAAGGGAGTGTGCAATGCCATTTTTGTGCAATTCTGGATTTTTTTTTTGAGTGAAAATCGGTTGATGTGTACATGGATACCAAGTATGTCTAATTCTTAAAAATGCGCCAAGCAGTGGGAGATTCTGCGCTTTCCGCCTTTTTCGTTGTTTTTCTTGAAGTCCTATTTTAGATAGTTTTGCATGTTTACAGAATTAATTCAGATTCACAACCATCTAATATGCCGCTATGATGAGTTAGCGATTTTCCAAAACGCGTGAAAACAACCGATTTGGCGAGTTGGCAATTTTTTTAAAACGCGCCAAACTGGACCATAATGTCTTCTTTTACCAATTTTTGATATAATCTATATCCATAACATTTAGGGGCTCACTTTTAGTTATATTAATATCAAGTAGTTCATTGAAATATTTAAACTGGCTAATCTAAAAAAAAAAAAAAATCGCTCTTTTATTTGCACATTGAAAGTTTCCTTATGTGCAGCATAAAACACAGCAGAAGAAATAAAGAGTTTGCAAAACATAAAAAATTATTAATATTAATAGTAATAAATCTGATCATGGAAATTTGGATAAGATGGGGGAAGAAAATAAAATGTGTGAAAACAATGATTTTAGTGGCACCACCTATCAATCCGTAAAGTAACTACACAGTTAAGTAAGGTAAATCGCCTATTGGCAGAATAATACCATTTTGAATATTCATTCCAAATTGGTCTTGTTATGATTGCAGAAATTTAATATCAGGTGGATATCCTGAAAAACCTTACCGATGTTCTCCGAAAAAATGATATCTCAGGATGACTTTTCACTTTTTCAAGTTGTAGCAGCTCTGATTTTTAGGATGCCTGAATAATCATCCCAAGAAATAAAATCATGAGCCTAGTTAGTTGGCTTGACATATACACACAACAACTGTTTCTGTTAATCTGGTAATTTAAGAATTATAAGATAGAACAGTTGTTTGTTTAGTTCTTAAAATCAAATATTTTCTTTGCTACTTGATTGATGATCAGTTTGGAAAGACAGAATATGCTCTACTATTTATTAAAAGAAGTAAAACATGTTACTGAATATATAATTTTTGCATGTCATTTTTATCTGAGCATATAAAAGAGATATGTTATAGGTTTATGATGTATATTTTCTTTTCATATTGTGTTTATCAGCCGCAAAAGGGTTAAATATGCATTATGAATAAAATTAGAGTAATATCTTTAAAAAATGCATTTTAAAAATGTTATGGAAATTTAGATATTTTATAGTTATCCGCATCTTCAACAAAATTTTGTAAAAATGTATTCACGTGGCAAAATGTATGTCAGCAAACTAGTTATGCAGTAACTCAGGTTATGTAGCAGGTACTTATTGTGGCCGATAAACAATGCTAGTGTTGCATGATGCTGACATTGTGAAATTATTTGATGTTTTTTAAGTTTAAACAGATTGCTCTATGCATTGGGAGAAGAACAGAGTAAAAAAATCTTACTGAAAAATTAGTTGCCATCAAGTTCACAAATGTTATTTGCAGTCAATGATGGTTTCATGACTTTTCTGTAGGCGGTGTGGATAATCAGAAAGTACCGAAACTTTTTATACTGATAATAATAAATAAATTATATTTTTTTTATGTGTATATAGCAGGAGTGGGCCAAGCTCCTTGATAGTCTGAGCCATTTTTCAAAATTTGAAATTTTTCGCGAGCCGCAATTAAATACGTATTAAAAAGGTATTAAAGATGAAAAAGATATTATTTTACAGATTTTATTTTTATTTTACAGAAATTGTATTTATTGAAAGCATATAAATAAAAGTAGAAAATATGTGTATTGAATTTAAATATTAAAAATTAAACGCATTTATTTTACTTGTCTTGATAATTCTTTAAAATTTGGTAAATAATTGGTGACAGCACTTCTCAGTAATTTTTTGAGATGCTGGTTAGTTGATACTGATCGGTGTTTGGATTTCACGAATTTTAAAGTGGAATAAAATGATTCACCTAAGTATGTTATTCCGAATATTGAAATAATTCGACGTGCAGCCTTTTTAAGTTCAGGATACTTCGATTCTGGTACAAATTTCGGAAATCGGCATTGACTTTTATTTTAATTGTAGAGCTTGATCTTCTTGCATTTCTATTAATTATAACTCTCCAGATGCTTTTTGGGTCATATTTATATTGGAAATGGAAAACTCACCTTGAATTATGTTAATTTCAAATGGAATCGGAAAAAATCGAGAGAAACGAAATTTAAAATATTTCAATTCTTGAAATCTACTTTGGAATTCCGTCAATATTTCTTTTAGCTTTTTTATATACTCGTCGAGTTTTTCTTGTTTAATATTGGAACAAGTTTTTTTTAATTCAAGGAAGATGCCAAAATGTTTTATTTTAATGTCCTTTTGAAAAAGTTGTAATTTACTTTGAAAACTAAATACAGTCAAAAGTCTTTAAGCCGGACCTCAAAGCTACACACTTTCTGCGCATGCGGATAAATGTATCATTTTACGCATGCACATCATACCTTTACGCATGCGTGTTTAATGTATAACGGACGGTATAAGCTAAGCTAAAATTATCTATTTCAGTTAATGTTGCAGATTGCATTATTCCTTAATCTTCTAATTGGATCTGGCTTATTATTTTTTTGCAGACTGTTAGAGCAATTTTATAAATGTAAGTTTGAACTTTCGATTATGTCAAAAAGAATTTCCAATTCTGGAGCTGCTAAAGGATCTACGAAGCGAAAGCATGTTTCGATGTCCATCAAACAAAAAGCGGAATTGCTGCAAAAAATGGATAAAGGCATATCCTTTGTTTCTCTAACCATTCCGAAATCTGTTTATTAATTCCACGCTGCTCTGCAGGGGAGGGATGTCGCGGCGCGTAATGAACTGGAAGTTGATCTGTCAGCACTATCCTTATGTTCAGGGCAGATTTTTTATTTTATTCAGCTTATAATTCCTTACTAAATGTAGTATTTCATTTCGATGCACTCCATCTTTGATATAATTTAAATCAAATTCCTCGTCATTATAAATATCACGAATACACATCAAATAGTTTTCTGTTTGCAATTTTCTAATTTCGACTATGCGTAACGTATGCTTTACGCATGCGCGCTTGTAAAGAAAGAAATGTTTAATAAAGTAAAAAATAAATATTAAGCTTTTTTTAGTAAATTTTGATACCCTTTAGATCATAACTGTTCTTTATTTCATAAATTATGGTTTCATATTTTTAATTTTATAATTTCTGCATGCCATCTTACCAAATTTAAACTGATGATCTATAATCTGGAAAAAACGATAATCCAGAATCGCCGAAGTCCCGACGAGTCCGGATTAAAGACTTTTGACTGTATACACTGTGAGAGGTCAGATATTAGTTTATCTTTCCCCTGCAGTTCTAAATTCAGTGTTTGCAAATGTTCCATGACATCAGTCAAAAACATTAAGTCTTGTAACTACTCATCATCGCCTAATTCTGAATAGGTTATTTCCTTTTCTTTTTAGAAATGCAGTTATCGGATCAAACAAATCTACAAATCGATTTAATATGTTTTAGCTAGATAACCATCTAACAATGGAAAAGAAATTAATGTCATTTGGAAGTTCTTCGTCCTTTAATTCTTCTAGGAAATTTTTGAATTGTTGATGATTTTTGCATTGGTGCGAATGTAATTTACAATGTATAACACTGTTGTCATAACATCAAGATATTTTAAGTATTTTGTAATGAGATGTTCGTGGTGAATTTTGCAGTGAATTGGTATGAATTGGGGAATGTGGTATGAATTGTTAAAAGCCCAGTAAGACCGACCGATTTTTTTTTTTTTTTATCCAGCATTGCTGGAGCCCCATCAGTTGCAATGCTTACAAGTTTATTAAGAGGCACATCAAAAGTTTTCACTATGAAATCTAATGCATTTTTAATATCAACACCATGGGTTGACTCTTGAAGTGCCACTAAATCTAATATTTCTTCTTTAACAACGAAGTCAGGTGAAACAAAATTTTAAAAAACTGCCAATTGCAGAAGATCTGTGATATCTGTCGATTCGTCAAGGGCTAACAGGTCTTCAAATCCTTTTTAAAATTATATTCAAGAGATGTATTGATGGCAGTTATGCGCCGTTCGGTTGTGTGTCTCGAGATGGGAATATGAGAAACAACTTTGTGCAATGCTGCGTTATTTGAATCTAAAACTTTAAGAACATCTTTCAAGTTTTTTTTAATAAACTCTCCCTCTCCAGTCAGGCATTGTGCTCAAGCAATATTCCAGGCAATAACAAAACTGGCTTCAGCCACATTATTAGCTTGATTTCTAAAGGTCATTAAAATTGACTGTTTTAAAGAAGCAAGTTTATCTGATCTTAATTTGGAATTTAATGGATACTGATTAGAAAACTGATTATGATTGGCTTCATAATGTTGACTTGAATTGCCAGCTGTACAATTTTTGAATGTAGAATTATAAATAACACATAATGTTTTTCTGTTATTGTCAATAAAAAAGAAATTCTCCCACTCATTATTAAAACTTCTATTTTCTTTTCATTCTCTGTCATCATAGAACTGGAAATAAATACAGAAATTTTAGAAAGTACAAGTTTTGTGTTATTAAAACAATAGCAATACGTGTTGCATACTACGAAACAAATTATAGTTAACTTACCAAAAATTCCAGATTGCAAATTTTATCCGTAGCAAGAGTGATACAAATTGTTTCCTCCAGATCACAATATCAACTGTCCGTTGCAATTAGAGATTAAAAATTCAAAATCGGTCGATCACGTAGATCGTATATCGTCATTCGTCGAGAAGCAATCGTGCGGACAAGGCCTTGACATTAGCCTTGACTCCCATAAGTTTCTCATAAATCACGAGGCAGTTGAAGGGGAAGAAAATCCCACCAACCGGAACTATTACGCCACTGTTTATGTTCGTTCGTGCAGTTTTGGATGAGTTATATCATTCTTAACTTGGACGGAAATGAAATTTGTTACAATGTTGCACTTAGTATTTCATATTTGTTGTCAGTAATTTAAAAGACATTTTGAAACACATACGGAACAATAATAATTTTTTAAAATATAATAACACAAAAAGGTAAAGAAAACTCGGGCACATTTATCGAGAGCCACAAATAATCCTTCAAAGAGCCGCAGGTTGGCCACCCCTGGTATATAGTATAGATAATGATAAATTAACTAATAAACTTTTTATATGTATGTAATGCAGATTTTTAATTCTGAAACTGAGTTTTTCAAATGCTTTGATTAAAAATCTGTTATTTTATGTTTTATAGCCTAATGAAGAACAAAAGGATGCATAAAGTTCCAATAAATGTTATGGCAGTTTTAATATAAATGTACTGATATTATGCAAAAAGGCTATGTACTCTCTATTTAAAATTAGAAAGATATTATCAGTCTCACAGCCTGGAGGTGGTAAGGACGTGAACATCGTACATAGTGCTTATTCAGAAACCAAGGAGCATAGTGTTTTGGCTCTAGTTTGTGATAATGGTAAGTGTTTTCATGCACATGTATGTAGCTTTCTGCAAACTATGTAGATCATGAAATAGTTGATAAAATTGTATGCTTTTAATTTTTTTAATGTACATTACTAAGAAATATGTAGTCTTGTGTAAAATTGTCGGATTTTATTTTTTCATAATTTTGTGGTTATGGTTTAAAAGGATAAAAATAATTTTCTTTTCAAGCAGAAGCAAGATGTTATAGTAACCAGATGACAGAAATTTTTCAGAGTAGGTTCGATATATTTTCTGGAGTGTGTTGCATTATCTCAAATTTTTCTTTTCTTAATTTTTTTCTAACTTTGCTTCTGAAACTTTCAGAAATCATTGCATAAAAAATGAAATAGATGTTGTTGTAAATGTAGTAAATCACTTTCTTTAAGAAGCTCAAATAAAGCTTTAATCAAATTAAACTGCACATAAAACAGAACATCTTTGTTGCTGCCAGTATTAATAAGTAAATAAATAATAATAATGATAATAATAACACATTCATCCCTCCCTGAGCTTATTATTAAGTTATGTAATCTACCAGGTAAGGTGACATCTCTGCCTTTTCAGATGTGAGGGTTCACTCTCATGCTAGTAATCATTTGAAGTCTTTTCAAAAGCGTCAGGTCTGCCAGGGCACAGTAATTCATGGCCTTGAGAATCCTCTTCTGTTGGTTTTCTTATAGTTTTTTATATGGATTCATAAGCTTCAGTGGCCAAATTTTCATTCTGTGAAGCAAAAGAATCTGAAAGTTGCTGGTTTTCATCATGGGAATGTATAGGATTATCTCCTGTAGGTGCTAATATCATTAAGAAACATTGGCTTCATGCCCATCTGGAATGTTAACATAATCTGGGTCACCCTCGTTGAGCTCTGCGTCCAGTTAACAGCTCATATGTTTTGCTTGTGTATAGTTCTTCATTAATATTGTTCCAGGTTAACAATGTAGGTAAAGATTGACCATTATAGGATCTTCTAGCATGGATGTACATATGTTCCTGTGGTATGGCATTTGTTGCTATGCATAACAGAGACCAGATCGAATGCAAAACAGTTTGCAGAACTCCTTCCCAATGTGCGATAGCCGTTTTCTTTGATTTATTACCAGTTGGATGGTTTTGCATATAATTCAATTATACCTCTCTAATTGCCTATTTCCTTTAAGTCTTGCAGTTATGCAACTTGTTGCTATACCTAGTGAAGTTAAGAAGGATTTTAATTCATGAGACACAAGATCCTCTATCAGCTTGTGTGTAGGTATGCATCCCCAGAATTGAGAAAATATTTTGCAGATGACATATCAGGGCAGGTTAATGTAAAAGAGAATCTTGAAAACTCATCCACAACAGTTCCTGCAAGCTGTAGGCAAAGGACCTTTGAAATCAAGATTTAGTCATTCAACAGGTGCAGTTGCTTTAATTAAGTGCTTTTCAGATCTACAGAAGTGAGGTTTTACTTCACTTCAGCATAAACATAAATTAACAGTTCTTCAAATTTTTTCTTCTGAAAATGGCAGATTTTTAGTTTTATTCAGTGATACATTCGAGTTATTCTGGGATGACAAAGTTCAAACAAGCAAGTTCTAACCCCAATATATAATCTTCTCATTTTTAATTTTATTTAAAATTTTATTGCAGTTCTTTTGATCCAACATAAATGCTGCAGGTCTTTGATCTGTAAAAACTTTGAAGTGCCTGCCAATTAAATAGTGTCTCCAGTTTCATAATGATTCAACAATAGCATATGCCTCTTTCTCAATAGAGGAATGTTTTTGTTCTGAAGAATTTAGTATTCTAGAGAAGAAAGCTGTAGGATAACCAGCTTGACTCAGAGTTGCTCCTATTGCAAATTTAGGAGCATCAGTTTTAAACTCTGAATTGTATATGTAGGTTACTCTGAAATTTTAGAGGTACACACAGACAATAAGTGGCAGAAAAAAATAATGATTAAATTTGAAGATATGAACATCATGCCTATTAGATTTTTTTTATTTGCCAGTTGCAAACAGTTTAGCCTAGAGTAAATTTTAGGCAGAAGGAAAAATGGAGTTGATGTGAGGACATTATTGTGCTATGATTTTCTTTGATTTTAAAATAGGTTTAATCAAGAAGAATGTGTTCAATATCTACAGTTATCATTTAGAAGATAAGGTCCATCTTCTGATACTATATTCAGATGATTTACAGAATTTCTCAGAGGTAGCAATTCTCTTCAGGATGAAGAACAGACAGGTAGGCTGTTTTCAGGAGTAATCTTGGAAAATGTGTCTGCCATATGGAAAATGTCAATTGATTATAATCTCTGCACCTACCAAATGACACAGAAGGAACTTAACATGGGATCCACTGCCATACATCAAATTATTCATGAAGAACTGCATATGAAAAAATAATTTGCCGTAGTGTTCTCCGTAATTTAACTGAGCACCAAAAAGAGGAGGAGTGTGTCAGAATCAGTAAAGAAACCCGTAAATTACTTAAAGATGGTGGCCACCATATTATTTCTAAAACCATAACTGGTGATGAAACGTATATGTAATTTTTTGATGTTTCAACACATCAAGAAAGTAAAAGTATGGGTCTTTGAAGATGATTCCATGCCATAATGATGAAAAAACAATGTACCATGAAAAAAGTAATGCATGCCATTTTCTTCAGTATAACAGAACTGGTCAAAGCCATCATGCTAGAAGGACAAAAGACAGCCACAGTTAAGTGGTACACCATTAAGCATCTTCCAGAAATTCCTTGAGAAGTGAATGTTAAGAGGCTATCACTTCTAGGGACGCGGGACAGTTCTGAGAAACAAGATTCTCGTAGCACTGCTTTAAGCGGGAGGCTTCTGAGAAATGTTTCGTCTAGCTAGGAGGAACATGTCCTGGCTATATGAGCAACATTTTGAAACTTTCCCGAAAATGTTCCGTCTAGAGACGAGTTCCTTGTACGTTCAACCAATCAGACGAAAGTTCTGCTTCTGAAGGATCACGGGTAACTTTCAATATGGCGATGGCTCTCACAGTGAAGTCATGGACAGTGGAAATAGAGGCCGATTTAATTATTGCTCTTTTGTTCTAATATAACTGCCCGAGTCATTTTAAAAATGTTTATATATTCATTAAATATATACTCGTGGAAATTTCAGAGTTGACAGTATTTTACGACACTTGCAGCTCGGATTTGTTTACAAATTGTTCGTTGCCAAAAGTTCGCCAAATTTGTCATATTTCGTGCCGATCATGTATTATCACTGTTATGTAATAGAATTTTATTTCTTAAATTTAAGTTGAATAATTTTTAAAATCCATTTGTATATGCATGGCTTTTCTCCTAATTACTTATCTTTGAAATTGTTAATTGCATAATCAGTGACACAGTTTAAACAGCATAAAAGATGCATAAAAAAAAGAAAAGCATAGTTTCTGTAATAATGAGAATAGTCATTGAATTTGTCTATTATTTTTATGCTATTAATGAAATACTTTTTGGATTATAAATACATTAGAGACTATACTTTTATTGTAAATGCTACATATTGAAACACTGAAAATTTATGGATTTATTATTATGCATGATGAAAAACATTTGTACATACAGTCATTAATATAAATCTTATTCTTTACATTGATACTAGTAAATATATATCAACAACTTCTAAACCATCGCAACTCTCTATCTGTATGTAAATATATGACTTATTAGATGTGTGGAATATTATAGAATATTAGAATATATGTAAGTATGAATACAAAAATGAACATTGCCAAAAAGTTTATTTGAAGTTACTTCTAATTCATTTAACGATCATGTAATTGGCAGCAATTGTAGTCATCAGTTCTTTGCAAATTATTATGGATATTTAATAATCAGTTGAAAAATAATTGATGAGCATTTGAGTACTGAAGAGTTTACACATTTTGTTTTTGGGTTAATTCATAATTATATCATATGTATAATCTACATAATATAAACATGACTAATAAATAAAAAGAAATGTAGCAGTTATGCATTTATAACATTTGATTACTTAAAACAGTACATAACTGATTATCACCTTCATGTGTGTTTACATAATGAATTGTACTTTCCAATTATGTGCACAGGCCTACTAGTGGCTGAAGTGTTGTTGAACACTGGTAGTTCTGTTTGAGGTTAGAAGGCCACGAACGGACTGGCTACATGGGCGTTTCTTGGTTTTCCCCATTTGTAACTAATATACAAGCCAGTTTTAAAAAATCTTCTACAAAGGGATCCCTCCTGTTAGGCAGATATCCCTTGAGGCTTTGCCATAATCACATAAAACAAACTCATGATGTGCACCTCCTAATTTCTAGAGTTGGTATAATTAATGTTTTAGGTATATTACTGAGTGTTTTATGGGACAGTAAACAACTCGCACATGTTTGATTGCTCGTGTATTCATAGGCTTTATTTAATCTTCATTTTGCTGAATAGTATCTGCTGGCTGTGAGGATGTTACATCAACCATATAGATTTTTGTCATAGAAGGTCTTTTTTTTTGTCTATTTCTTTGTTTATTCTTATGGACAGAACAGTAATTATGAGCCATAACGTTAGTCAAGAAAATGCTTTCACCAGGTCACAAATTTTCCTGTGAGCCATCAAATTTTCATTGGAATGCAGACATCAGAAAATACACATAAGTAATGTCTGATAAACAGACTTATCCAGCACACATTTTAAACTAGTCTTATTGTATACAGAATTTGGCTATTACTGATTTAATTGATTGCTATAACCGGAAGTGTGTTTATCTGTTACTTGAAGTGCCAGAGTGGAGATCAAAGTGATTAACTTGATAGCAATCACCTTTCTATTATCTTCCGTAACTAACAATAAAGTTTAAAACGAAAAGGGTGTGAGCGATACAAAAGAACACGAAGAAGCGAACGTCACTTTTGCCAGTCTGAGCGATAACTGATTCTTATTTGGCTTTCAGGCTGTTTACCAAGTGAAGATGGTAACCTGATTTTCGTGGAA